AACAGTCATTGAATTTTTAATTCAGCCCGTAATTAGCTAACTTATTAAGGGCGCACTTCTAAAGGGCGGCAATGTTATTTGGGTCCACAGCGCCCCTATTCTTCATCAGATCGAAAAACTACCGAAACAAAAAATGTAGAGAAGTTAAAAAGCTTTAAGTCGGTTTTTGAGTTTTTGAAATCGGTACACAAATACGCTAATTATGAACAATTTGGCACAACACACTTTTGCAAAAAAGCAATAAAAAAATCAAAGAAAAAATGATTACTTTTTGAAGCGCTTTCAAACAGTTATTGAATTTTTCAAATTAACCGGTTAATATTCTACTTATTAAGAGCGCACTTCTAAAAGGCGGCAATGTTATTTGCGTCCACAGCGCCACTATTGCTCGTCGGATCGAAAAAATCCAGAAACAATAAATGTAGACAATTTCACGAACTTTCAGTGAGTTTTTAAGTTTTGGAAATCGGCCCACAAATACACAAATAATGTGCAATTTAGCAAAAAAGCTAATAAAAAACCATCCTACAAAAAATTATTACTGTTCCAATCTTCAAAAAAGCTTTTGAATTTTTCAACCCGATCTGTAAATTTTCAACTTTTAAAGGGCGGCAAGGTTAGTTACCTCACAGCGCCCTTAAACCCAATCATATGAAAAACCTACCGCAACAAAAAATGTAGCTAATTGAACGAGTTTTAAGTCCTTTTTTGCAGAAAACGAAAATCTCGGAAACGGTGGAAAGTATCGGAATTCATATTAAAACATTTTCGATTGCCCTAATTAGTCTTGATCAGAAATTCCTTACTGTTCTACAGTAACAAGCGAAACGGTTTGAAATACTTGATTAGTCGTAAAGAGCCTACAGAAGGTTTCTCACAATGTTTGATGGGAAATTCTTGATCTCTAAAGAAATTCAGAGCCAAAAGCTTGGGTTTGCTTGAGTTAATAAGCTTTCCAAACCCCGAAAAGCCGTTTTTCACGATCAAAAATCCACTTACTAAATGTATTTACTTCTACTGAAGCGGACAGAGGCTCAGTATTGGCGTAGTTCGCATGGCAACTGTACGTTCCTGATTGTTCCTCAGTCAAGCCAGTAAAAACCAGCATTATGCCCACGTCGCCAGAAAGTTTCTGCAAAGAATCGTTTCATTAATATTGAAGTCAAATATTTTTTCCGGGAATGCTGCAGGATTTTTAATTAAGCTTCAACGGCGGCTTACAAACATAAACACGCCCTTGTCGAGGTTTTATTAAACTCGGCGCAGGTCGAAGAAAACTTAATTACCTAATTGAAATTATAGCGGATTAACAATAGCTATATTTGGGGCAGGGAAACCTGCATGTTTTGATTCATGCGGGGCAAATTTGATTGGAAAGCCTTTGAAATTGTGCCAATTTCACCGATTAATCCAGTGCAATGGCGCACATTAACCATTGATTCCTGCACACAACACACGATTAATTTTAAAGTGTTTCACATGAAATGTCCAGGCAGTGATTGAATTTATTTGCGCCCTTCAGCCCATCGAAACCCTTTAATAGCCGATCGAAATTAGCAAAACTCACCTGAATGTAAATCGGGCCGTTCCGCTGGGCGATTTCGATTCGACGATTTTTTCGGTCGCGCCATTCCAAATTTGATATTAATTCCGGATTTGGAACGCTGGGCCGACAAGTCAATACCAGGTTTTCTCCCAATTCTTTGCGGATCGGCCTGGACTTCGGCTGAATCTCCAGAGAATTTGTTTGAGCCGCTACAACTGAAACAAATAAATTAGGCCTGGATTATGGGAAATGTTAATTAGTTTAATATTATTAATGCACGTTCCGGCGATTACAAAGCATGTTTTCAATTATATAAGCGAATTCACTGGCCGGTGCTGATAGTTTCAGGGAATTCCCAAATTAAATTGTGTTTTGTAATTAACGCCACCGTTTTTCCTAGTCGCAAATTAGCTTGTGATTGTTCCGTCAGCGATGCAGCGAAAGTTCGCACTAATTCACACAATTTTTTTATTTGCAACATTATTTTTTATCATTAAAAATGACAAAATGCTTATTATTTTACCGATCTAACTAGTGGCAGCTTCTACCAGAACCCCGAAACAGAATTTGCCACTATA